ATAAGGAACCTGTAGGCATGTGTGCGTATATATGTATGTATATTTCTATCCTAAATACCACAGCGCTACAAAAAAAAAAAAAAAGAAAAAAATCACTGGAGAACAGATATTTTCTCATCAAAACATTTCAAAAGATCACATCAAGATGGCATGTCATAAGGAAGCAGCAGGAAAGAGGCCAAAAAACAAGAGTGAGAACATGAAAGCTGGGAGTGCACTGGAACCAATATATTTTTCTGAAGCAATGATTTGCACTATAAAAATTTACAGGCAAAGAGTATTTTTTAAAGCTTCCTACCAATCTGTCACAACTGGTTCTTCTCACTAGAAGGCAGCTGTGACCCTCAGAAGCATTACTGATCGTTGGATCTCCAATTCCTGATATGCTAGAGCATTATAAAAAATTAAGTGGCATTTTCTTAAATAATGTAAAAGTGTCAATACATTCTAGGAGCAACTGAACTACTTTCTCTCATACTTACAACAAAACAAAATCCTGGAAAAGCTTTTTCTCCTAGACTGAAAAAACGGTTTGCTAGTAATGAATCTTTACAGAGAAAATGCTGCATAATTTCATGTCCAAATCCTTCAACCATATCTGCAGAAGATTTCCACATCTATGCCAAATCATAATAATAATAAAAAAACTATACTAAGACAGATGAGTCATTAAGATAATACTGTGGAACTTGAGATACATATTCCAGTTCAACTGTGTTTTTCTATCACAAATCAATTGTGTGACTTCAACCCAAACACTGGCTCAATTTCTCATCTGTGAAGATAATAATTACAGATTCACACTTCAAAACTCACAGGGGATTTAATAGTAATAAGTAGGGGGGAAAAAAATAAAGAAAAAAAAAAGTAATGTAACAGTACTTTTGGATATTGCAAGTTTCTGGCATGTCATTAAGGTCAGGTGAAAACATTGCTGATACTCTGTGTCAGCATCATCATTCATATCTCTATAATACACCTCAATAGTGTATTTACTTTTTTCTTTTATTGTTTTTGTGTAGAATCACAAAATGCCTACAACATACAATCCATTTTTCTAATGTTATGATTTTTCTAATGTAATGTCATTTTCTACTTACTGCTTGCCTGTTCTCTTATACTATCCTTGTATCTTAGTATAAAACAAGTATCCTGCACAGGGCAGACCCCTCTTTCAGATAGAAACAGAGTCTCTGTAGGAAACACTAACATTTCGTTGCCACACAATGGAGAACAAACTACACTCTTCAGTCACAGAGTGTGTGCATTTACAATACCTAAGTGATACACCCTACTATCCAGTAGAAATCAAAAAGCAGTAAATAAAAATAACCATACAGTTAACTAGTGAACTGCTATACAGGCTTTTCATACAGCTGCATGTAAAATATATGGCTGCATCTTCCATAACCTCACCGTTACAGGCCCTTCCTGAAGCATAAAAATCAACATGCAATGGTACAGGCACAAATCATGCTACGCATTTTAAGCGCTTACAAGTGCTGTATTTGACATGCCATCCCACACAGCCAAAACACTCGATAGTTAAGGTCTAATACAAAAATGTACTTACTTGGTCAACATAATGCCATTTACTGTCATTGTAGAAAATGGCCAAATAAACACAATGAGACAAAAGCACAATGAAGCTGCAAAATTATTTCTCAGGAAAATATGCATATGCGGTGGCAAGCAGGGCCTGTGTTTTTTTTTTTTCCTCCCCTCCCTCTGTGACTAGCCCCTCCAGTTTCAACACAGTTGCTCACAAGGTAGAAGACCTGAGGCACTGAATCTTATAACAAGTATTAATGTCTGCAAGATAGAGAGTAGAATTCTAAATTCCTGCCCCTAACAAGCTGGTAGTTATTCTAAAAATAAACTATGCCTATTAATTTGACTTGAAGTGTGTATAAGATTTCTTTTCCATGAATACTTTCACTGATACGCAAATACCATTTCATCCAACCTGTTTTAATCAACCACAGAAAAACAATTGTACAGTTTTCAGTTCCAACCTTGCCTCAGAGGTTGATAACACCTGGTAAACACACAGCCTCCCTAAACCAGGACATCTCTGGAAGTGCAGTGAAAGCACTAGATCCACAAACTAAAACGGTATGGAAATGTCACATCCTGAGAACAGGCAGGTTTTTTAGGTTTTTCAAAATCTACCATTAAGTTTATTTTCACAGAATATTTTTCTCAGAGACTTGGATTTGTATAATTTGTAACCACATGTCAAAACCACACATGGACCTTATGCAATTGTGAGCTTCCAACTGCTCCAGATGAGCTAATCCAATAAAGCCATAGAACCAAAGCCCAAGAACCTTCATGGAGGAGTAGGAATTTGACCACATGGAGCAACAGCTTTACACCCCTCTTGTAATTTATAAAACAATCCAACTAAAAAACAGAAACATTGCCAAATGTATTTTAAAATTGTTCCATGTTCAGCTACTGACTACAAAGCTGATTTAAGGCATTAGGCTTGAATCAGAAACTCCACCACAGCTTATGCAGCACAACAGACTGTACTCTCACACAACCATATGCTTAGGCCTGAAGATACAAGACTTCACCTTCTCAGCATTTTGTGACTAACAGACAAATACCAAATGCTCTCTCTCCACATAACCCAGATATGGTACATACCTGCATACTATTTGAGGTCCTCCTTCTGGTATGACTCTACACCCATCTCCTTACTCAGGCCTGCACGAAGCCCTCCGGAAGATAGGCCTTGCACAAGATATTCCAGAAAGTCCTGCCAGGGAGCAAGGTCAGGGCTATGGTACTCCACGCTGCAGACTGACAGACAACTTGCCTACTGAACTAAATTCTCCCAACGAGCTGCCTGAGAGAGCTACCACAAGAATTCAGAATTTAGCAGAAAGTGGATCAGCCTCCAGTAAGAAGAGACCTAAGCTCCTCTCCGTAACCTTTCCCAGTAGGATCGGGTAAAGCTTTCATCTTTATCCGCTTCTTTCTAAGAACTAATTAAAAATAAATAAATAAACACACACACAACACACCACCACAACAAATGGGAACATCCTGGCAAGCCAGAGACTAATCTTTATAGAAAGCAAACAAATTAGAACTAAAAGGAAAACAGTGTAAATGGACAGCTGCACAATCTCTTTCCATTTCCCAGTGGCTGAACTACTGAGATTGAGGCAGTCTTTACCAGAGCAAGGGATCTTAATTTGCCTGTACTCTTCCTCAGTAAGTATATTCACTCACAGATGTATGAAACAACCCAGAAGTTGGAAATGCATGTTAGGACTCCAGACTGAAAGACCAAAGGGACTGCCACACTCCAGACTCCAGCAGGTAAAGGAACTCCAACCTGCAGGACATATCCCTTGTTTGCATGACACACTTCCAGCATAGCCTGGACAGCCACAATATTACCTTCTCCTGAGACGGCGCTGCCTATTTTTGGGGTGTTGCTTTCTGCTTGCGATCCTAGAGAACAATAACTTCAGAGTGAAAAGTCATTATCATGTCTCTGAGAGGACTTTCGAAGGCTAATCCTTCCTCTGAGTTATTCTAGGACTGAGTCAGCCTTCCACATTTCCATTTCTAAGAAAACATTCTTGACATATTTTTTTTTTCACTGTTCCTGTAATAGTACTCTGTTCTACAGCAGCCTCAGAAATCATGGGCAAAGCAAGCCCCAAGAGATAATCACCAATGCAAAACAAGGTTTATGCATTATTATTACTTCTAGCTAGATAAATACAAATCTTGCCGTCCTTTATACTAATTGCATTTGTACTACAGAGACACATAAAACGTGGAATTGTAAGGAGGACGAGAACCCCCCTAAATGATTAGGCGCAATGTCTTACTATCTAAGCTTTTCCAGTTCATTAATATTTCACTTTTATATATTCCTCAGCTGCTTTTACAACATGTTCCTTTCTCTCCTTCTTAAGTGTGAGCACAGAGAATTGTTTGAAGTAACTAGTAGACCTTGCCTCACATCCCCATCTCCCTGCCCCCTGAGAGTTTAACACTTCAAGTGCAATATATACTAGATGGAAAAAACGCATCTGGCATAGAAGAGAATAAGAAGGGATTTTGAGTCTCCCTTCTGGTTACGTTCCCCTATAAAGGTGTGCGGTAGGAAAACAAAGCGGACCACGTTTCTCTAAGCTGAGAAACTTACTGCTGTCAGTTTCAAAGGCAAGACAGACACAAAGCTCTGAGGGGTTCAGCTCTCTGCGGAAAAGCAGGACTGCCGCGTTCCCTAGCAAAATAACAGAACTCGCTGCAACTTTCTTTCCCTTGCAGGAAAGTGAAAGATCACCTCTTCCAGCCAGGAGAAAACGCACAAATTATCGAGAGGAGAGGTGGGATTTTCACAAACCTTTCCCATAATAAGCGGCACCACCGCCATCTGCTCCACCTCTCGAGCCTGCCGTGTGTTTCTGGAGAGCTGTCAGCATCCTCCAGCTCCTTTCCCCCAAACCCAGCCCCGCGCAAAGGCCCCGCAGCACCCCCACGGCGCTGCTCACGCTGCTGAGAAGGCTCCTGCCTCTCACCCCCACGGGTGGCGGGCAGATTCCTCGATAGACCGGGCAAGGAGAAGGAGAAGAATGAGGAGAGGAGCCCCAAGGCGAGGCTCCAGACAAAAAGCACCGCGTCTCCCCACCGACCTGCGGGGCTCACACCCCTCTGCAGGCGCAGCCCGGCTCTGCGGGGGGGGGGGGGAAGCGGGGAAGCTGCAGCCGCCACACGGCAGCCCCGGGGCCACCTGCGGGCTGCCCCCCGCCACCTCCCCGCCGGCTCCTCGCCCCCCGGCACCGAGCTGCGGCACCGGCAGCGCCCAGCCAAGGGCGCAGGGCGGCCGGGAGCCGCCGCCCCGCCAGCGCTGAGAGGAGGCGAAGCGAGGCCGGGCCGCCGCGGGGCGCCACCCTCGGCATCCCCTCAGCACCTGGCGCCCCCCGCCACACGCCCGGGGGTCGCGCTGAAGGGAGGGGACGCGTTACCTGGCCGGGCTCCACCGGCGGGGGCTGGGGACCCCTGCGGCGGCCACCGCCGCCACCTCCCCGCCCGCTTGCTGCTGGCTCGCCGGGAGAACGATGCGGCCGGGGCCGCTCGCCCCAAGCCGGCTGTCAATCCGTCTGTCCGTCTGTCCGTCGGTGTCAGTCGGTCATGCTGCGGCTGCTGGGGTGTGCGTGCGGGTGGGCGGCGTGCGGGGACAGAGAGAGGGAGGCAGCGGGCGGAGGGGGGGGGCGGGCCGGGGCGGCGCTTCCGCGTGTGTGTGTGTGTGTGTGTGTGTGTGTGTGTGTGTGTGTCGGGGCCGGGGGGGGCCGGCTGCGATCGCGTGGGGGGCTGCGGGGGGCACGGCTGCACACGCGGGTGGGTGTCCCTGCGTGGCAGCCTCCGCGGCCGGCAGGGGTTGGAGCAGCGCTGGGGGGGTGGGGTTGGGGTTAGGGTTGGGGGGGGGGGGGGTGAAAGTCCGCGTCTGCCGGGCAGGAATTCAGCGCTGCCCCGGTGTGTTTACACTCGCCATCTGCTCAAGGATTTCGCGTTTGTTTGTTTATTTATTTACCTATTCATTTATTTTTTTGCCTCCCCCGCACGCTAAGGGAACCGGCTGATTTCACTTCCTCATCGCCTTTTTTCTGATAACGCGCTTCGTAATTATTATTTTTTTTTTTCTTGTGAGCCCGTCACAGTCCAGGCACGTTGCCATACGTAAAAAATAAAATAAAATAAAATAAATAAAATAAAATAAAATAAAATAAAATAAAATAAATAAAATAAAATAAAATAAAATAAAATAAAAAAAAAAAGGACCGTGTAAAGGGCACTTAAAAAGCAGTTACGGTACCAAAGGCAAGGTCTCATCCACATCGGTGTGAAAACAGAAATAATCCACCTGGAATATTGGTCAGGGCAGCAGTCAGTTACAGGGCATTTGCTGTAAGGAATGAAGTTCCCTTCCCAACCCAGAAAGGAAGGGTAAAACAGAGGAATAGCCATGCTCTATGCAACTAATATTTAAGGGATAAAGTTTTCGTATTATGTTCTTTCTTGCCAATTTATACAGCACCATTCCCACATCACTTATCAAAGCAACCTCGCTGGAGTAAAATGAGTGACAATTCACGTGGATGGCAGGCTACAGATAGGCACCACCTCACCTCATCTTACAAAAGCTAACATGCATAACTCTGCCACAGAGTATCACATTGGCTTTGAACCCAACTAGCAAAATAACTTCATTTTGTAAACATCATTGCTGCTTCTGAAACTGAAGAACTCAAAGAAATGTTAAGTACTAGACTTATACACTGAAGTGTAGATCAAAATTAAGTCAATGAGAGTTTTGAAGAATTCTGACTAAAACACATTTCCGTAAAATGCAGGCAGCTACAACTTAACAGCAACAATGAGGCCAATTTCGGCTGAAATCCTGAAAATACTTCTGTGAAAATAGAGGGAGTTACGTCTGTGTAGATTTCGTATGAAACTGACAGGAATCTGGAGGGTTTTAAATATGTCTTTACAAAATCTAAATTTTCAAACAAGGCCGTCTGACACGATTATCTTTAGATATAATAGTCAATCAGTCAAACAAGTTCACCACTATGCTGTATGAAATGTAATGACCAAACTGAAAGGTGTTTGTTTCTGTTTCTACTTGGGCTTGGGGCAGAGTGGCTAGAAAGCTGTGCACAGGCAAAGGGACCTGGGAGTGCTGGTCAATGCTCATCTGAACACGAGCCAGCAGTGTGCCCAGGTGGCCACAAAGGCCACCAGCATCCTGGCTTGTGTTAGGAATGGTGCAGCCAGCATGGGGAAGGGAGGTGATCGTCCCCCTGTGCTCTGCTCTGGTGAGGCTGCACCTCAAACACTGTGTTCGGCTTTGGGCCCCTCACCACAAGAAGGACATCGAGGCCCTGGAGCGTGTCCAGAGCAGGGCTACGAAGCTGGTGAAGGGCCTGGAGCACAAGGCCTGTGAGGAGCAGCTGAGGGAGCTGGGGGTGTTTGGTCTGGAGAAGAGGAGGTTCAGGGGAGACCTCATTGCTCTCTGCAGCTACCTGAAAGGAAGGTGTGGGGAGCTGGGGGATGGCCTCTTCTCACAGGTAACTAGTGATAGGACCAGAGGGAATGGCCTCAAGTTGTGCAAAGGGAGGTTCAGGTTGGAAATTAAGAGACATTTCTTCTCAGAAAGAGCAGTCAGGAATTGGAATGGGTTTCCCAGGGAGGTGGTGGAGTCACCATCCCTGGGGACGTTCAAGGAAAGGTTGGACGTGGTGCTTGGGGATATGGTTTAGTGGGTGACAGTAGTGGTAGGGGGATGGTTGGAACAGATGATCTTTGAGGTCTTTTCCAATCTTTATAAATCTATGATTCTTGGCCAGATAGTAACAGATAAAATGTTCTATAGTCACAGAGAAACAGCTAGAGTATGCTGAACACAACAGTACCATAATGATGCTAGATAGACATTTTTAGTAACTTGTCATCCACATTTTAAAATGTTCAAAAATCTCATGGGACACCACCTCAAGAGTAGATATTCATTATTCAAAGTGCCTATATTGCAATGTGGGAATTTCAACCAAGAAGACATGGTGGCAAAATAGTTCTACTGAGTGCCGGTATCATCCAAGCATTTAAGCATGTATACAGCTCTATGTGTGTGAGTTGTCTTAATGAAGACTAGGATTTTTTGCCATAATTAAAATTATATGTCTGCTTAGCCACTTTATTAAGTTTAGGCAACCTTGAAGTTAAAGACAGAGGAATCTGTGATTTGCTGAACCAGGGTTCTCCCAAGAGCCTTGCATGGTTTCTGAACTCCATCTCTCACCCTTCTTCCTCCTGCCTGTGTTCAGTAGAAGACTCTCACAGCCTCCTAATGGTTAACTCTGACTCTCTGGCATGTTTCTCTAAGCTCTCCTGCCTGCTGTTGCCCTGAAAGGTTAGCCCCTGTGATTAAGTGGCACTTCCAGACACACTCACAACTGATGCTTCTAGTGAAGTCAGAAAGGCTTTGATCAGCCCAGTGACACAGGCAGAAGAACAGCCAGCAGCTAGAGATTGTACAGAATAATGGCAGCTTTTCAAAAATTACATTTCATTCTAGGGGGAGGAGGGGGGGAACAAAACATTGTAATTATTTTAAGCATCAAGCAATACCTGTTTTGAAGTGGCTTTGCTAACGGAGACCTCAGCAGATAGCTATGGGAGCTACAGGAGGAGGAAAATTTATGGCCACCACACCCAGGACCTTCCCAAGCATAAGTAACCTGATTCTAGTCTCCCACCCATTTCCTGCTAGCGTGGCCCCAGTGGCTTTTGCAGAAAACTTCTCTGTATGACAGGTATTACACCAAAATAATCATCAGGCTTTGCTAACACAATCAAGTCTTATCAGAAAATTCCAGGTTTGCAGAGATGTGGATTCATCAGGAAGAATGCATTCTTCTTGCTGGGGTATAAATGTCCTGAAAATTACTACAGCAGACATGTCTGATCCCCTTGCATTGTCTATCAGCTATTTCTATTCCCTCTCAGTTTGAGTTCATTCCTTGTTTCCTGACTAATCATTTCACATGATCCCCCGTGCTTGATGCTGCCACCTACTTAATAAAAAAGAGGGCTGTGTTTTTTACCACACTTTTTTTCACTTTTTCTCCACCTCAGTTGTGGATTCATCTCAGGGTAGGCATGGAGGGAGCTGAGGCACGTGAGATCAAATCAGTTTCGACAGCCACGTCCATCAGGGTTCAGTGTGCATCCCTGTATAACCTTCTGTAAGACCTTAAGATCTCTGGATACAAGCCTTCAGTGCAGAGAAGAGCTGCTCTGCCTTATTCAGCAGTCAGGACAGTCGGTGATTCTCTGCACGACTGACCCTAACTGCAGAGATTTAGGGGCTGGACATAGCTATAAAACAAAATACTTGGGGGGAGGAGGGCCGGTAAAACACCAGAGGGGGGCGTGTAAAACAGGTTCATCTCTGTTTTGCAGGAGCATTTAATGAATCTTAAAGGAACCGGTTCTGTGAGAGCAACTCTGCTTGCCAAGCTGTGACTCACAGCCACATGCTGGCAGAGTAAACTAACCTCAGCACTTGGATACTCTGGGGCATCTTGGGAGGGGATGCAAAGCTGCATTGACTTCACTGCAGGCTTTTCTCAAACAATACTGTTTGAGCCAGGATGGCATTGGGAGTGTTGCTGCTCCACAGTAACCATGAAGCAGTCTGGTCAAGTCCCAGTTTACCATCACAGGACAGAGCAAAGGAGGCCTCCTGTACCAAATTGCTTCCCCTATCTTTTCAGGAAACATCTGTTCAGTGGAGCAGTGCCATACTGATCAATATGTATTGCTTTTGTGTTGTGTGCCATCATATCCACTTATACCTTTGGAGTCAGGATTAACTGAGTGACCTTCCGTTTGCTGTGTAGTGCCATGTATGTGCAATGTACTGGATAAATACTGTCACTGACACTGGTCAGTTTGTTAAATGTGATGGATTTCATCACACTGACATTAAAATCTCAAAGGAGATCAAAGTGCACTTTAGTTAATAAAAAATAATGGTGGTCTGACGCAGTTTTTAAATTAATGTTCATGGGTTTTGTCCACTGCTTTTAAATTTCTTGTAAATTGATTTATAGTCTCTGTCATTGGACTCCCACAGTGTCAATGGCACAAATGACACCACTTTTTTGCAAGATGATCACCGTCACTACTAGGGTCAGAAAGAGCAATGACAATTAGAAGTGTAGAGTTTCTATTCACTCAAAAAGAGAAATGCTCATTACAATCTCAAAATTTAGCTTGTTAAATTGAATGAAAAACTTTTTTCTTTCTACTATCTCACCAGTGAGGTATCTGGAAGAGAGGAGGAGAGGAGAGGAGAGGAGAGAGGAGAGGAGAGGAGAGGAGAGGAGAGGAGAGGAGAGGAGAGGAGAGGAGAGGAGAGGAGAGGAGAGGAGAGGAGAGGAGAGGAGAGGAGAGGAGAGGAGAGGAGAGGAGAGGAGAGGAGAGGAGAGGAGAGGAGAGGAGAGGAGAGGAGAGGAGAGCAGAGCAGAGCAGAGCAGAGCAGAGGAGAATAGTTCAAGTTGGAAGAGACCTACAAAGAACATCAAGTCCAACTGACCGACCACTTCAGGGCTAACCCAAAGTTAAAACGTATTAAGGGCATTGTCCAAATGTCTCTTAAATATATACAGGCACAAAGCACCTACCACCTCTCTAGGAAGCCTGTTCCAGTGTCTGAGTCCCCTCTT